ATTTTGGGGGAACAACATGTAATTAAGATTAGAAGGGACATAACAAAAATAAAACAAACAAAATCAAAACAATAAAGCGAAACAAAACAAACCTCTCAATTGTATCACCAATGTAATTACACGTACGTTGTTTGTTTGAAATATATCAAAGGAAGGTTGATATGGTATTTGCTTTATAACATTTCATGCAGTTCGATGATGTTTTCAGACTCAAATACTATCAAAGCAATAGAAGAATACAATATTCATGTATATGTAAAATGAAATCTGTAAACAATACCAATCTGAATCCTTTATATTTAAAAAAAAATCAATTCATAATAATATCAATATTCAAATATCTTAATGGATAGTGAGATTTTATATTATGTTATTTGTATTCATATCTCTGTCTTTGGCTACACAATATGCCACAGTGTTTTCTGTATCATTTTTAACAGAGCAAACGCAAGTTCATCGAAGTTTTATTTTAGAAAATATTGTAAAATTTCGAATCTGTTTTTTTGCCTGTTATATATTAACCACTTCATATATTTTTTGTTCTAACTATTCCATGAAACATTTCTGTTACATTTTCCTAATGGTAGCTACAAAAGAGTCTCGGAAGAGTTCGGAAGTGTTCCCGGTCAAACAGTAGCTTACAGAGTTATGGGACTTTGAAATTGATTACTTTTGTAGCCTAAGGAACATGGGCTTGTGAGCACAATAACTTAAGTAAAAATGAATGGATTTCGATAAATTTTGCTATGCTGCTTTATATTAATAAGCTCTTGGACAAGTCTGAAAGTGGTCTCTGTCAAACAGTAACTAGCAGAGTTATGCGACTTTGAAATTTTAATTACTATTTGAGCCTATGGGACTTGCGCTTGTGAGCACAATAACTTGAGTAAAATTTAATAGATTTCGATGAATTTTGCTATGATGCTTCATATAGAAAATCTCGGACTGGTTTGTTAATGGTCTCGATCAGACAATAATTTGCAGATATATGGGACTTTGGAACTTTAATTACTATTCGAGCCTATGGGACTTGATCTTGTGAGCACAATAGCTCGGGTAAATGTGAATGGATTTTGATGATATTTGCTATGCGGCTTGATATTGAAAAGATTCCGGACGTGTTCAAAAATGAGCCGATCATACAGTACCTGGCAGAGTTACTGCCAATCGGATAATACAATATGGCCGATCCTGGGGCCTGGTTTGCTGAGACGAGAAATTTTCAACTTATCAAGATTATTTGTAGCAATTCACTTCTTTATTTGTACAAATGTCCTTCTGAGGTTCCGAACAAGTGTTTTTACTTTTTGTGCCGATCAGAAAATCCAAGATGGCCACCTTGACTTCTCATTGAATGTGGTATTTTTGACTTCTTTTCAAGAAAGGCTACACTTATTGACTTCTTACTTAGTAGAAGTGTTCCTTACGAGGTTTCAACCATGTTTTGTTACTTTTCATGCTGATTGTAAAATTCCAGATGGCCAACCTGGCCTGTGATTGACTAGAACATTTGCAACCTCATCTGTACATAATTCATTGCATTCATCTATACAGCATGTGTATGCCTGGTCTCCAGGTTAGTATGGGTGTATGCCTGGTCTCCAGGTTAGTATGGGTGTATGCCTTGTCTCCAGGTTAGTATGGGTGTATACCTGGTCTCTAGGTTAGTATGTGCGTATGCCTGGTCTCCAGGTTAGTATGGGTGTATACTGTGTGCCAATATAAAAGAAAGAACATGCTACAATTCGAGTTCTGCAGAACTTATTCAGGTGACCGTTTAGGTCCATGGGCCTCTTGTTCAAGTAAATAGTTAGTCAAGATATGTGGTGAAACATGAATCCTAAGACAGGCTTCCCTCCTATATTTTGATGATTGTTTTTAACATCAGCGTTTTAAAAATTATTCGTATGTATCTTTTGAAGGGATCATAAGGATATTTGGGGAGGGGGTGGGGGAAATTATACGGTATGCATTTCGCAAACATTTTTGTTTTGTCTTTAGTTTGGTATACAGTATGTTGTGCTACCCCAAAAATAAAAATAAATGATTATCCCTTATAATTGTAACTCTAACACGATTCGTTTGCAATGCGTGTTTTGATTGGATACGGACATTGTTCTAATCTGCGATAGAATCATGTTTAATCGTGTTAAGCTCCTCCCATCGCACTTAAACCACGCCCCGTTTCTAACCAAAACAATATGGCACCAAGCTCGCCTCGTTGCCAAATCCCGCTGATAAGGCTAGCAGGCAACAGAACAGAAAGGACCGATGAAATTTATTTGTTGAATAAAGGAAAAGGGAAAAAGGACACGTTCCTTGTTCTTACCTCCATTTAATACTGACCTTTCGTTCCATCTTGTGTAGGCATATAGTTAGATCCGAAATAAAATGAAACATTTCACATGTGACGTATGAATTTTGCACAAAACCCTTCACAAATCTAAACAAATAGTCACCGATTTTGTCGATACTCACAGCTTGGCATGCGTAATGACAAGGAAATGTAAGAATTTGGTTAATATTAAACCAAATGTGTCGTATAAACTTTGGTAACTGGACGTTAATGAACAATCCAAATAGTCCGCCTCGTCAACATACAGATCTAGCGCTCACCAGTAGGGGTGTGGCCAAATGACTGACCTTTGAAAGTTACTTTCTGATTGGTCAGTCCGTTGCAGAATGACACGTCGCGTGCACATGTCACAGATTACTTTACTACATGCATGTCTGAAATACAGTACTTTTAAACATATTAGCTTAGTATATTTGTTAGGGTGTGTTAGAATGGGGATACATGTAATACGTTGTTTTTAGTGTCTATACAGGCGATTAGAACATGGAATTTGGTTTGAACTCGAGACCGATAGTGCATGTTCTAACCACAGTACATGTTCTAATCCCCAGTATAGCCACTCAGGACAACGTACTATCCTCTAATTAAAAATTCAATCATTTAAAAAAACACCACTTGATGACTGTCAATATGAATGCCCCCTCCCCACCCTTGCAAAATAGATCAATTGTTTCACTATGTCTCTTCAAGGTTGAGTTTGACGCTGTCATCCCGAAGTGCGTAATTGCCCTAAATAATCTAACACTCGACCTTTGATCAAATCCATAATGAATATATATCGCTAGGGCTACGTCATTAAAATGCTTTTATCTTGATGTAGACACAAGGGGATTTGGTGGACATGGTCGACCATAAATCATCCTCGATACTCCAGGAGTTACGCTCACGTTCGCTCTCTGCACCCCCCATCCTCGATACTCCAGGAGTCACGCTCACGTTCGCTCTCTGCACCCCCATCCTCGATACTCCAGGGGTGACGCTCACGTTCGCTCTCTGCACCCCCATCCTCGATACTCCAGGGGTGACGCTCACGTTCGCTCTCTGCACCCCCATCCTCGATACTCCAGGCGTTACGCTCACGTTCGCTCTCTGCACCCCCATCCTCGATACTCCAGGAGTTACGCTCACGTTAGCTCTCTGCACCCCATCCTCGATACTCCAGGAGTTACGCTCACATTCGCTCTCTGCACCCCCATCCTCGATACTCCAGGGGTGACGCTCACGTTCGCTCTCTGCACCCCCATCCTCGATACTCCAGGAGTAACGCTCACGTTCGCTCTCTGCACCCCCATCCTCGATACTCCAGGCGTTACGCTCACGTTCGCTCTCTGCACCCCCATCCTCGATACTCCAGGGGTGACGCTCACGTTCGCTCTCTGCACCCCCATCCTCGATACTCCAGGAGCTACGCTCACGTTCGCTCTCTGCACCCCATCCTCGATACTCCAGGTGTTACGCTCACGTTCGCTCTATGCACCCCCCATCCTCGATACTCTAGGAGTCACGCTCACGTTCGCTCCCTGCACCCCCATCCTCGATACTCCAGGAGTGACGCTCACGTTCGCTCTCTGCACCCCATCCTCGATACTCCAGGCGTTACGCTCACGTTCGCTCTCTGCACCCCCATCCTCGATACTCCAGGGGTGACGCTCACGTTCGCTCTCTGCACCCCCATCCTCGATACTCCAGGGGTGACGCTCACGTTCGCTCTCTGCACCCCCATCCTCGATACTCCAGGGGTGACGCTCACGTTCGCTCTCTGCACCCCCATCCTCGATACTCCAGGAGTAACGCTCACGTTCGCTCTCTACACCCCCATCCTCGATACTCCAGGAGTGACGCTCACGTTCGCTCTCTGCCCCCCATCCTCGATACTCCAGGTGTTACGCTCACGTTCGCTCTCTGCACCCCCCATCCTCGATACTCTAGGAGTCACGCTCACGTTCGCTCTCTGCACCCCCATCCTCGATACTCCAGGAGCTACGCTCACGTTCGCTCTCTGCACCCCATCCTCGATACTCCAGGAGTTACGCTCACTTTCGTTCTCTGCACCCCATCCTCGATACTCCAGGAGTGACCTCACGTTCGCTCTCTGCACACCCATCCTCGATACTCCAGAAGTTACGCTCACTTTCGCTATCTGCACCCCATCCTTGATACTCCAGGAGTTACGCTCACTTTCGCTCTCTGCACCCCATCCTCGATACTCCAGGAGTTACGCTCACGTTCGCTCTCTGCACCCCCATCCTCGATACTCCAGGAGTTACGCTCACGTTCACTCTCTGCACCCCCATCCTCGATACTCCAGGCGTTACGCTCACGTTCGCTCTCTGCACCCTATCCTTAATATTCTAGAGGTTAAGCTCACTTTTGCTCTCATGTGTCATTGCAAAATCGAAAGCTTCCGGTGGCGCATGCTATGACATATTCAAAGGGTGCAGAGAGCGAAAGTGAGCGTAACCCCTGGAGTATCGAGGATGACACTGAATAGCCCGGAAAAAATGAGGGCGGCGTATATCAATAATGACAGAATACCTTCAAACTATTCCCAAGTTTATTTTGTATACTTTGAAACAAAATAGATTAACGAATGAGGAGTCTGGTCATTGCATTGCTCATTCTATTACATATGTTTACCATACAGTCTTGCAGACAGCCAGTGCACAATGTGGACCATTGGAAGTGGGTAATGACAACGCTTGTGTAGGTGAGTACAAGATCACAATTATCTTAGCTTATTTATACTTTTATCGTATAATACTCCAGTTTTAGTGTATCATAATGTCGTTAAATTGTATAATGTGAAAATGCATGAAACACACATACTGTATAGGTCTATAGTGTATCATACTGAAAACATATAAAGTGAATCATACTGATATTATATATAATGCATCACACTTAAATCAGATAAAGTGTATTAAACTTACATTATATAAAGTGTATTATACTTACATTATATAAAGTGCTTTATAATGGCATTATATAAATCTTATCATCCTTACACAATACAAAATGTATCATACTGACATTATACAAAGTGTATCATACTGACATTATAAAAAGTGTATCATACTGATGACATTATAAAAAATGTATCATACTGACATTATATAAAGTGATCATACTGACATTATACCAAGTGTATCATACTGACACGATATAAAGTGTATCATACTGACATTATATAAAGTGTATCTTACTGACACGATACAAAGTGTATCATACTGGCATTATATAAAGTGTATCTTACTGACACGAAACAAAGTGTATCATACTGGCATTATATAAAGTGTATCATGCTAATATTATACCAAGTGTATCGTACTGACACGATATAAAGTGTATCATACTGACATTATATAAAGCGTATCATACTGACATTATGTTAAGTGGATCCTACTGATGACATTATATCAAGTGTATCATACTGATTATATTATGTAAAGTATACACTATGATACTGACATTATATAAAATTTAGCCTACTGATGACATTATATAAAGTGTAGCATACAATTGACATTATATTAGCTGTATCATACTGATGATAGTATTTAAAGTGTATTATACTAACAGGATATAAAGTGTAGCACACTGATGACATTATATAGTGTATCATACTGATAGTATATAAAGTGTATCATATTGACATTATATAATGTGCATCATACTAGCGTTTTATAAAATGTTGCATACTGATGTCATTATATAAAGTGTATCATATTACATTATATAAAGTGTAGCATACTGACGTTATATAAAGTGTATCATACTAATGACATTCTATTAAGTGTATCATATTGGCGTTTTATAAAGTATAGCATACTGGCGTTATATAAAGTGTAGTATTCTAACATTATATAAAGTGTATCATACTGATGACATTCTATTAAGTGTATCATACTTATGACATTATATTAAGTGTATTATATTGATGACATTAAATAAAGTGTAGCATACTGGTGACATTATATTAAGTGTATCATACTGGCATTATATAAAGTGTATCATATTGACATTATATAAAGTGTAGCATACTGACGTTACATAGAGTGTATCATACTGATGACATTCTATTAAGTGTATCATATTGGCGTTTTATAAAGTGTAGCAGACTGACGTTATATAAAGTGTATCATACTGATAGTATATAAAGTGTATCATACTGACATTATATAAAGTGTATCACACTAATATTATATAAAGTGTATCATACTGACATTATATAAAGTGTATCACACTAATATTATATAAAGTGTATCATACTGACATTATATAAAGTGTATCCTACTGACATTATGTTAAGTGGATCATACTGATGACATTATATCAAGTGTATCATACTGATTATATTATGTAAAGTATACACTATGATACTGACATTATATAAAATTTAGCCTACTGATGACATTATATAAAGTGTAGCATACAGATCACATTATATTAGCTGTATCATACTGATGATATTATTTAAAGTGTATTATACTAACAGGATATAAAGTGTATCATATTGATGACATTATGTTAAGTGTATCATACTGACATTATATAAAATGTAGCATACTGATGACATTATATAAAGTGTGGCATAAAGATGACATTATATTAGCCGTAGAATACGGATGACATTATATAAAGTGTAGTATATTGATGACATTATATTAGTGTAGTATACTGATGACATTATATAGTGTATCATACTATATGTTACATAAGTAGGACACACGATAAATTCAGTGAGTATTGCAAACAATACATGACGTAGGTAGGAAATACTCTTCATGTAGTATGAGTATGATTCGCTATATATAATGTGAGTGTGATACACTTTGTAATATTTAAGTATAAAACACTTCTTATAATGTCATCAGTATGATACGTGTCATACTGATGACACTATATGAAGTGTAGCATACTGATGAAATTATAAGGGGAAGCATTATGATGACATTATATTAAGTGTATCATACTGATGACATTATATTAGGTGTATCATACTGATGACATTCTATAAAGTGTAGCATACTGATGACATTATATTAAGTGTATCATACTGTTGAAATGATATAAGGGGAAGCATTATGATGACATTATATTCATTGTAGCATACTGATGACATTATATAAAGTGTAGTATTCTAACATTATATAAAGTGTAGTACTCTAACATTATATTAGTGTAGCATACTGGTGATATTATATTAAGTGTATCATACTGACAGTATATCAAGTGTATCATATTGACATTATATTGGCGTTATATACTGTGTACCATAATGACATTATACAAAGTGTATACGATACATTACGTGAGTAAGGTACACGATACATTACGTGAGTATGGTACTCGATACATTACGTATGTATGACACACGATAGATAACGTAAGTATGGTACTCCATACATTACGTGAGTATAGCACACGATAGATAACGTGAGAATGGCACTTGATAAAATACGTAAGTATGGTATACGATACATTACGTGAGTATGGCATGCTATTACGAGAGTATAGCACACAATATATTTCGTGAGTATGGTTCACGATACATTACATGAGTATGACACACGATATATTACGTGTGTATGTTACACGATAGATTACATAGTAACTCCCAAAAATTAAAAATCAAATATATCAACCATGGAACACGGTATATACTGCTCATATTTCCTGTAGTAGGACGCACGATAACTTACGTGAGTATCTCACACAATGCATGACGTTAGTAGGAAATACTCTTGTAGCATACTGATGAAATTATATACATTCTGTAAAGGGAAAGGGGAAGCATTATGATGATATCATATTAAGTGTAGCATACTGATGACATTATATAAAGTGAAGCATACCTAATGACCTTATAAAAAGTGTATCATACTGACATTATATTAAGTGTAGCATACTGATGACATTATTGTGTTGTAACATTATATAAAATGTATCATACTGGCGTTTTATAAAGTGTTGCATACTGATGTCATTATATAAAGTGTATTAAAGTGTAGCATACTGATGACATACTATTCAGTGTATCAAACTGATGACATTTTATTGAGTGTATCCTACTGGCGTTATATAAAGTGTATCATTCTGACATTATATAAAGTGTATCATATTGATGACATTATATTAAATGTATCATACTCATACTTCATGCATAGTATTTCCTACTTACGCCATGTATTGTGTGTCATACTCACGTAATATATGGTGTACCATATTCACGTAATCTATCATGTGCCATGCTCACGTAATGTATCATGTACTAACTCACGTAGTTTATCGTGTGCCAAACTCACTTAATCTATCGTGGGTCATACCTACGTAATGTATCGTGTGCCAACTCACCTAATCCATCATGTGCCATACTCACGAAATGTAACGTGTACCATACTACCGTAATCTATCGTGTACCATACTCACGCAATCTATTGTGTGTCATACTCACGTAAGTTATCTTGTGCCATACCCACGTAATGTATGGTAGCAGAGTACAGTAGCGTACGGTGGCCATGGGTGATATTTTTATACAATGAATAACCCCTGTCATATAACATGTATCAAAATTTTAAAAAAAAATCAGCACTAAAATTGGCATATACATGATGAAGTGGACTATGTGGGCTTCATAATTCAAAAAAAAGAAAAGGCGAATTTGGTTTGAGACTACAATTTTGGGCATTTACGAATCTGTGTCTACACAACAAAAGCTAGCTTTTCATGTAGTCTATTTTTGTACTCAGCACATGTGTAAATATTGTGAAAAATCCACCGGAATGACCTATGCTAAAACGTGAGTATTTCTGTTACCGAGTAGGCGATATTTAATTTCAGACAGGTTTTAAGAAAAACAATTCTACTTGCGGGGGTCAAATTCTGGGTTAAAAATCATGATTTTTTGCATATTTTGGTGTTTTTTGATGTGGTAACCATGGTTTTCAGAAGTCCCAAATCTGGGGAAATCACTTTTTGAAAAAAAAATGTTCTTCTAAAAAACACCTATTAAACATGTAGTTTATAAATATATATATATATGTAGGTGTGTTGTGCAGGATGAATCCGCTATCCATGTTTATCCGAGACATGCCCTTTATTTTTAGGGTCAAGCCATTTCTACTGTACTCTGCCACCTATCGTGTGTTATACTCACGTAATTTATCCTGTGTCATACTCACGTAATTTATCGTGTGCCGTACTCACGTAATCTATTGTGTGCTATACTCACGTAATGTATCGTTTGTCATACTCACATACTCTATTGTGTGCTATACTCACGTTATATATCGTGTGCCAAATTCACGTAATGTATCGTTTACCGTACTCACGTAATGTATCGTGTACCATACTCACGTATTGTATCGTGTACCGTACTCACGTAATGTATCGTGTACCATACTCACGGAATCTATTGTGTGCTATACTCACGTAATGTATCGTTTGTCATACTCACATAATCTATTGTGTGCTATACTCACGTTATATATCGTGTGCCAAATTCACGTGATGTATCGTGTACCATACTCACGTAATGTATCGTGTACCATACCCACGTAATGTATCGTGTGTTATACTCACGTAATTTATTCTGTGTCATTCTCACGTAATTTATCGTGTGCCGTACTCACGTAATCTACTGTCTGCTATACTCACGTAATGTATCGTTTGTCATACTCACATAATCTATAGTGTGCTATACTCACGTTATATATCGTATGCCAAATTCACGTGATGTATCGTTTACCATACTCACGTAATGTATCGTGTACCGTACTCAGTTATATATCGTGTGCCAAATTCTCGTGGTGTATCGTTTACCATACTCACGTAATGTATCGTGTACCGTACTCACGTAATGTATCGTGTACCATACTCACGTAATGTATAGTGTACCATACTCATGTAATGTATCGTGTACCGTACTCACGTAATGTATCGTGTACCATGCTCACGAAATGTAACGTGTGTCAAACACACGTAATTTATCGTGTACCATACTCACGCAATCTATCGTGTGTCATACTCACGTAAGTTCTCTTGTGCCATACCCACGTAATGTATCGTGTGTTATACTCACGTAATTTATCCTGTGTCATACTCACGTCATTTATCGTGTGCCGTACTCACGTAATTTATTGTGTGCTATACTCACGTAATGTATCGTTTGTCATCCTCACATAATCTATTGTGTGCTATACTCACGTTATATATCGTGTGCCAAATTCACGTGATGTATCGTTTACCATACTCACGTAATGTATCGTGTACCGTACTCACGTGATGTATCGTGTACCGTACTCACGTAATATATCGTGTACCGTACTCACGAAATGTATCGAGTACCATACTCACGTAATGTATCCTGTACCATACTCACGTAATGTATCGTGTACCGTACTCACGTAATATATCGTGTACCGTACTCACGGAATGTATCGTGTACCATACTCACGTAATGGACCCTGTACCATACTCACGTAATGTATCGTGTTTCATACTCACGTAATGTATCGTGTGCCATACTCACGTAATGTATCGTGTACCGTACTCACGTAATATATCGTGTACCGTACTCACGAAATGTATCGAGTACCATACTCACGTAATGTATCCTGTACCATACTCACGTAATGTATCGTGTACCATACTCAGGTAATGTATCGTGTACCATACTCACGTAATATATCGTGTACCGTACTCACGTAATGTATCGGGTACCGTACTCACGTAATGTATCGTGTACCATACTCAGGTAATGTATCGTGTACCATACTCACGTAATATATCGTGTACCGTACTCACGTAATGTATCGTGTACCATACTCACGTAATGTACCCTGTACCATACTCACGTAATGTATCGTGTTCCATACTCACGTAATGTATCGTGTGCCATACTCACGTAATGTATCGTATACCGTACTCACGTGATGTATCGTGTACCGTACTCACGTAATGTATCGTGTACCGTACTCACGTAATGTATCGAGTACCATACTCACGTGATGTATCGTGTACCATACTCACGTGATGTATCGTGTACCGTACTCACGTAATGTATCGGGTACCGTACTCACGTAATGTATCGTGTACCGTACTCACGTAATGTATCGTGTACCATACTCACGTAATGTATCGTGTACCATACTCACGTAATGTATCGTTTACCATACTCACGTAAAGTATCGTGTACCATACTCACGTAAAGTATCGTGTATTTTCTCACGTAATTTATTGTGTAACATACTCACGTAATGTATCTTGTACCATACTCACGTAATGTATTGTGTACCGTACTCACGTAATGTATCGCGTACCATACTCACGTAATGTATCGTATACCGTACTCACGTGATGTATCGTGTACCGTACTCACGAAATGTATCGTTAACCATACTCACGTAATGTATCGAGTACCATACTCACGTGATGTATCGTGTACCATACTCACGTGATGTATCGTGTACCATACTCACGTGATGTATCGTGTACCATACTCACGTGATGTATCGTGTACCATACTCACGTGATGTATCGTGTACCGTACTCACGTAATGTATCGTGTACCATACTCACGTAATGTATCGTGTACCATACTAACGTAATGTATCGTTTACCATACTCACGTAATGTATCGTGTACCATACTCACGTGATGTATCGTGTACCGTACTCACGTAATGTATCGAGTACCATACTCACGTGATGTATCGTGTACCATACTCACGTGATGTATCGTGTACCGTACTCACGTAATGTATCGTGTACCATACTCACGTAATGTATCGTGTACCATACTCACGTAATGTGTCCAGTACCATACTCACGTAATGTATCGTGTACCGTACTCACGTAATGTATCGTGTACCGTACTCACGTAATGTATCGTGTAACATACTCACGTAATGTATCGTGTGCCATACACACGTAATGTATCGTGTACCATACTCACGTAATATACTCACGTAATGTATCGTGTACCATACTCACGTAACGTATCGTGTACCATACTCACGTAATGGATCGAATACCGTACTCACGTAATGTATCGTGTACCATACTCAAGTAATGTATCGTGTACCGTACTCACGTAATGTTTCGTGTACCGTACTCACGTAATGTATCGTGTACCATACTCACGTAATATACTCACGTAATGTATCGTGTACCATACTCACGTAATATACTCACGTAATGTATCGTGTACCATACTCACGTAACGTATCGTGTACCATACTCACGTAATGTATCGAATACCGTACTCACGTAATGTATCGTGTACCATACTCACGTAATGTATCGAATACCGTACTCACGTAATGTATCGTGTACCATACTCACGTAAAGGATCGGGTACCGTACTCACGTAATTTATTGTGTACCATACTCACGTAATGTATCGTGTACCGTACTCACGTAAGGTATTGTGTACCATACTCACGTAATGTATCGTGTACCAAACTCACGTAACGTATCGTGTACCATACTCACGTAACGTATCGTGTACCGTACTCACGTAATGTATCGTGTAACATACTCACGTAATGTATCGTGTGCCATACACACGTAATGTATCGTGTACCATACTCACGTAATGTATCGAATACCGTACTCACGTAATGTATCGTGTACCATACTCACGTAATGTATCGAATACCGTACTCACGTAATGTATCGTGTACCATACTCACGTAACGTATCGTGTACCATACTCACGTAATGTATCGTGTACTATACTCACCTAACAGATATAAAGGTTATATTATTATCATTTTCACATACTGTAAGTGAAGGGCCTGGACCCTAGGACTGATATGGGTCGAGGGCTGATACGGGTTATGATAAAAAAACAAGTATCTTATTTTTTCATCATATACTACACACTATGCCTGTAACTATTTTAACAAAAAACGTGTTGGTCAGATTAGTCGCGTGCTGGGGGGATATGGTATATGTGCAGCTTGCAGTTTCACTCATACAAAACAACGTATAAGACGGAATAATTTATGTGTATCATATAATGTGACATGAACATATATTTGCAGATATGAAGTGGTGTTTATACAAGTTGTACAAAAACCCAATGAACTGGGCAGACGCCAGACAGATCTGCAGCCAGGAGGGTCACGATTTGTTGAGGATAACAGATGCGGTTGAACACACCTATCTGAATTCATTTCTCGTTACCTCTTTAGGCATTGCCTCACCTGCAGTCCCTGTCGAGTAAGTAACTTTGCAATGCCTATCATGACGTGTTGATCACGTGTTTAATCATAGAACATGAACTTTATACGTGATGTTGTCCACATTTGTCTTTGTATGTTATCTAGCATGCCAGCTATTTGATTTTACCGGTCTAAACAACAAATTGTGTAATATAGCGGCTCTTATAGGACTAGAGGCGTTAATTATAATTTACGGCCTCTTCGGGGATTTAGAAATACATGTTGTCATTATATGAGTAATCTGAAAAAAATGTAGAACGTAAATATGAATTTTCAAATTCATTCGACAACTGGTTAAGAAGATATTGCATTACAAAGAGAGACATAAAACCGCATTTTCGTAACAAAATGCGTGAATATCGTCTGTTGTACGCTACTTGGATGAAAATCTGCCATTTTGAAGGAAATAAACTAAAACACTCTTCAAATTTTGAAAACCTCCGCATGCAACAAATGAATAAATTATTTGACATGTTTGAACATTGTCATACCAGTGTTTATTCGTAGAACGGATTTTTTGTTTGTCACATGCGGCATGCTTGCTGTCCAAAAACACCATATGTTGGCTATTTTTGCATAGCAACGCAATTTTGTTGCTATGGAAGGGCATCTATGCATGCACATTAGCAAATATATGCACCAAGAAAGGTGGTCCCAATTAACCGATATGATGTTTATAACAGTGATTGGTCAGTTAATCCAAGTTGATATTTTTACTTTTTATGAGGCCAAAATGGCCCATAGCGCCCCATTGCCTTTGGCCCTTCTCGGCACATTGTTCCTTCAGTAGAGACATTCATAAGCGGTGTAGTGCCGTAAAGTCTGCTGCATTTACACAAGACATTGGATTTACGAACACTCTAACTATGTTAAACGCCAAGGTGGGATAAAACTTTATCATTCTGGCATATCAGTTCGCAAACTTAGCAACTTTCTACGCAGACTTTCCCAGCATTTGTAAAACAACTGAAATTACTCGTGGGCTGTTTTGTTATTTTCATTTAACTTCTATTAATGCAATGTCAAAAATAAAAAGGTAAAAAGGGGACAGGTAGCAGGGACGTAACCAGGACTATGAGTATGTGGAAGCATATACGAAGCGCGGAGTAGGGGGTGGGTTCGGGAGGGGGGTTACTTTAACAACTCATATAATCCTGGGCCCTCAGAGATGAGGGCCCAGGATTATATGAGTTGTTAAAGTTTATCACATAAAGTTCTACAATGTGTTCCTTGTTAAAAATATACTTAAAAAAATTACGTGGAAGCCCGTGCGTCCGTGCGTACGCCTGGTTACGTCCCTGGGTAGACATGTAACGCTATCTGTATAACTGCAACAGAAAATAATCAATTAAAGTCATACCATATGTATAAAGTGTATGTATAGTTTATACACGTCCTTAGAGTGAAACCCATGTATAGTGTATCCTTGTCCTTACAGTGAAATCCATGTATAGTGTATCCTTGTCCTAACATTGATACCCAATGTATAGTGTATACACGTCCTTACAGTGACACCCTATGTATAGTGTATCCACGTCCTTACAGTGACACCCTATGTATAGTGTATACACGTCCTTACAGTGATACCCTGTGTATAGTGTATACACGTCCTTACAGTGATACCCCATGTATAGTGTATACACGTCCTTTCAGTGATACCTTATGTATTGTGTATACACGTCCTTATAGTGATACCTTATGTATAGTGTATACACGTCCTTACAGTGATTCCTTATGTATAGTGTATCCACGTCCTTACAGTGATACCCATGTATAGTGTATATACGTCCTTACAGTGATACCTTATGTACATATAGTGTATACACGTCCTTACAATGATACCCTATGTATATTGTATACACGTCCTTACAATGATACCCTATGTATAGTGTATACACGCCCTTACAGTGATACCCTATTTACAGTGTTTACACGTCCTTACAGTGATATCCTATTTAAAGAGTATACCCGTCCTTACAGTGATAAACATGTAAAGCGTATACACGTCCTTACAGTGATACCCCATGTATAGTATATATACGTCCGTGCAGCTATACTCATGTGTTGTATTTACGCGTCCTTACAATTATACCCTATTTATAGTATGTGCACATCATCAACAGTGTATGTTTGGTTTGGTTTGGTTTAATTTTGTTTAACGTCCTGTTATCAGCTAAGGTCATTTAAGATGCAGGAGACAGAGTATGCTGGTGTGCTTGGCTTCTCGTGATAGCGCGGATCCGATGCCAACTTTATAGTGCTATATCACTGTCTGTACATTTATGTCTTAATCTAGCGTACGCGCGATCTTACAGAGATACTCGATGACGGTACAGGTGTTGTTGTTGTTTTTATCGTGACAACGTATTAATGTCTTTGCAGTACTACCATCTGGCTAGGCATGCAGCAGAATGCTGGTGACAACCCGCGCTGGCACAACGACTGTTCCACTCAGCCTGCCGGGTACAACCCGGTCCCTAATGTTGCTGGCTCCAATTGCTTCATGTTGGATATAATGGCTAACACCTATGCGTATGCGGACTGTTCTTCGTCTAAGATGTTCCTTTGTAAAGCAAAGTCTTACGGTGAGTTGTCTGGAGTGGTGTTAAGGTCAAGGGGTACAAGCAAGTTAGTTAGATCTTAACCATTGTAATTATTGTAAAATATTTGTTTATGTCCTTCCCGAAGCATGTACATGTATTGCATAAATATCACATGTTGCGATGGGTTTATCAGAAATATACATGTTGTTATTGTTAGGAGTTTGAATATTTGAAAAAAGAGGTAAAAAGGACAGCAAAGCTAAAGAAAACATTATCTTTGGTTGCTTTATCGTCTAAGTTTTCTACGGGAGTATATCTAATAAAGTGATACCGTTTATATGTACCTGAATTCTAAACCTACATTGACAGCAATGTAACATTGGAGAAACATATAAAAGACTAACACACGTACATATAGCATAGTCCTACTCTATATACATCAATGTAAGTACCGGTATATACTTTGTCTAACACAGACATATAACATAGTCATACTCTATATAAGTACCTGTATATACTAACACAGACATATAACATAGTCATACTCTATATACGTACCTATATATATTTTGACTAACACAAACTTATAACATAGTCTTACTCTATATCAGTACCTGTATATACGTTGTCTAACACAGACATATAACATATTCCTGCTCTATATAAGTAACGGTATATACTTTGTCTAACACAGACATATAACATATTCCTACACTATATAAGTACCGGTATATACTTTGTCTAACACAGAAATATAACATATTCCTACTCTATATAATTTACGGTATATCCTTTGTCTAACACAGACATATAACATAGCCATCTTCTATATAAGTACCTGTATATACTAACACAGGCATATAACATAGTCATACTCTATATAAGTACCTGTATATACTAACACAGACATATAACATATTCCTACTCTGTATAAGTACCGGTATATATTTTGTCTAACACAGACATATAACATATTCCTACTCTATATAAGTAACGGTATATACTTTGTCTAACACAGACATATAACATAGCCATCTTCTATATAAGTACCTGTATATACTATGACAGACATATAACATATTCCTACACTATATAAGTACCGGTATATACTTTGTCTAACACAGACACATAACATAGTCCTACTCTATATAAGTACCTGTATATATTACCACAGACATATAACATATTCCTACTCTATATAATTATGTACCGGTATATACTTTGTCTAACACAGACATATAACATAGTCAAACTGTATATAAGTACCGGTATACACTTTGTCTAACACAGACATATAACATAGTCATACTCTATATAATTACCTTTATTACATACTTACTAATAAATACGGGTTATTTGTATATGCGATACGACACAATTGCCCTTACCCATATCAGCCCTCGCCGTATCACACCCCAAAACCCGTATCAGCCCGCAAAACCCATATCACACACCTTTTGGAAAAAAAATCGTTTTTCAATATTTCAAAAATAAAAAATAAATCATAAGATAGTATTTTTTATTAGTAAGTATGTAATAAACAGAATAAAACACGACTTTTCCATATAACACCCAGTATCAACCCTCGACCAATATCAGCCTTCGGGCCTTCGGCTCTACGACTAATATTGCAGTCTCGGGTTGATACTGGGTGTGATATGGAAAAAAAGGCATGTATTATTCTGTATGTATTTACTTTGTCTAACACAGACATATAACATAGTCCTGCTCTATATAAGTACCTGTATATACTTTGTCTAACACAGACATGTAACACAGTCATCCTCTATATAAGTACCTGTATATACTAACACAGACATATAACATAGTCCTACTCTATATAAGTCCCTGTATATACTTTGTCTAACACAGACATATAACATATTTCTACTCTATATATGTACCTGTATATACTAACACAGACATATAACATATTCCTACTCTATATAAGTACCTGAATATACTTTGTCTAACACAGACATGTAACATATTCCTACTTAATATAAGTAACGGTATATACTTTGTCTAACACAGACATATAACATATTCCTACTTAATATAAGTAACGGTATATACTTTGCCTAACACAGACATATAACATATTCCTACTCTATATATGTACCTGTATATACTAACACAGACATATAACATAGTCATCCTCTATATAAGTGTCTGTATTTACTTTGTCTAACACAGACATATAACATAGTCCTACTCTATATAAGTACCTGTATATACTTTATCTAACACAGACATATAACATAGTCATCCTCTATATAAGTACCTGTATATACTAACACAGACATATAACATAGTCATCCTCTATATAAGTATCTGTATTTACTTTGTCTAACACAGACATATAACATAGTCCTACTCTATATATGTACATGTATATACTAACACAGACTTATAACATATTCCTGCTCTATACAAGTAACGGTATATACTTTGTCTAACACAGACATATAACATAGTCCTACTCTATATATGTACCTGTATATACTAACACAGACTTATAACATATTCCTACTCTATACAAGTAA